ACTTTGACTTAAGTAACAATAGGGGCCACCAAACGACGTATAATAACTTTTGACTCAAAAACCAGTATTTTTTAGCATGAAAGCTAGCGATTTGCATTTGTATGATTAAAACCCTGCTAAATATGTTAAACATTGCTATCACTATGAGATTATATGTGTTTACTTGGAAATAGGAATAACTTTTCGGTCATCAAAACAAAACTTTATTTTTCTCGGATTGGTGCGAATGTTACTTTCGACGTAATGAAAATTTGCTCTTGAAATGACGTTTCACATTCATCTAGTGATGGCCGATTTTCATTCGAATAATGGATTAATCGATTAACGAACCGAAAAGTAAAATATTTGTAATCGGTTATATCGTGCCGATATAAGCATTAACATCTCCAAAGGATCATCACCGATCGTTTCAAACATGTGCTGCACTCCTATTGGTTAAAAAATGGCAGCACAGCGAACAAAAAATAATCGATTAGTTGTTAATCGAGTAATTAAAAAATGGGACACCCTGATTTTGGTGTGCTTGTTTTGCTAAAAATGCGCGCAAAATTTCATCTCTACCGAGGGGGCAGCAAAACCATAAAATTACTTTGAATACGGGGGGTATTCATTGGATGAAAGGGACCGTGAAAGAGGACACTAAAATATAAAGTGTTTCTTCCGACAGTTTCATCTTAGTATTCATCTTTGGTTTATGTTTATATTTACCTCAAATATTTTTATTTCGATAATATTTTTTCTGCGTGAGTAGGGATGAGCCGCGCTACTTCGTCGTATCCTAAGAGGAAGAGGTGACAATTGGCTTCTTCCTCTTTTATTTCTATCTCTATCTCTATCTTTATCTATCTCTATCTCTATCTTACGCACATGAAATCGGCCAATCAGGAGCTGGTTCACGTTTGACAGAAAAGTGGTTCATTTTCGCCCCCGTATTGTCACCTCTTCTCTTAGGTCGTATCATGGCGCCTATTTCCGTTCTATGTGCTAAAACTATAATAGCAAAGCTTTTTCACTCATGTTTTCGCAAAAACATTTTTGCTTACAAGATTAATTACGATTGACACTGAAGCATTTGCGATAACCCGTAAAATGAGCGATTTTAGGGGTGTATGACGAAGAAAAGCTGAAATACGACGGACTAGCGCGAAGCCCTATCTAATGTCTGAAATTTAGAGATCTATAAGCCCCTAAATCTTGAAAGTTTATCTCAAGGTGAAATTGCGAAGTGTGATATGAATGAGGACTCTTTAAACAAACCTTTGCTTCTAACAATGTTACGGATTTCAAGTTTGTTTAAATTTTCCGCAAATTGTCAACGATTAAGGATCTTATTTAGCGGAATTTGGATTACAACATGATTTCAAAATCATATGATTAAAAGATTTCATAAACAACGCTGGTTTAATAACTCTTATTATAAAAAGACTGGCTGCTGAAGTTCATAGAAAGTCCCTAACGTTCGTAGAATTTCATGGGACTTCCCCGAAGTTCGAAGGACTTTTTTTAAGATCTTAAGACTTCCCTGAAGTTCGGAGTTTTTTGAAATTCATGGGAATTTCTTAAATATCGTAGAAGTACCACGAAGTTCGTAGAAATTCTCTGAAATTCGTAAGACTTCGTTCAAGTTCGACGAACTTTCTCGAAGATCTGAGGACTTCCCTGAAGTTTGAAGGACTTAACTGAATATATGAGGACCCTAAATTTAGAAGAGCTTTGCTGAAGTTCATAAGGCTTTAAATATCGAAGGGTTTTCCAAAAGTTTGTGGGTCTTTCATTAATTTCTTGGAAATTCCCTGAAGTTTGGAGAGCTCCCATGAGTTTCGTAGGACTACCTGTAGTTCAATCGACTTCTCGGAAGTTCTAGGTACTTTTTTGAGCTTGGAGATCTATGTTCAGAGGACTTTCCAAGAGTATTGAAGACTTCTCTGGAGCTCGGAAAAAATCCATAAGTGTCATAGGATTATCCTTAAGTTTTAAGCAATGCCTAAATGTCGTAGAAGTTACAATAAATCTGTAGAAAATTCTGTAAAATTCGTAGTTATTCCTCAAAGATTAAAGGACTTCCCTGAAGTTTGTAAGACTTCTCTGAAATTTGTAGAACTTCTCTGAAGGTTCGGAGAGATATCCTGACCGTCGTAGGTCATCACAGTAGTTCACAGGATTTTCCTGAAACTTGTAAGACTTTCCCGAATTTTGTAGAACTTGCATGAAGTTCGAAGGCCTTATCTGAAGTTTTAAGAAATAGAACTTTTTTATTGAACATGTTGAACAGGTACTTCAAAGTAGTTACGTGTCGGCACTGCTTAAGTCTGCTATCAATTAAGCACAAATCATACATGCAATTGATTCGAGAAAAAAAAAATAAAAATAAATACAAAATATATTTACTAAACTCTCAGGGTAAATTTTGTTCATCAATGTTTAGTTTTGTGAAAGATTTAGCTTGAACAAAATGGTTAGTTTTGACCTGATTATAAAAAGGAACTTTGACATACATAAAATTTAAAACCTATTTAAATTATACAAACAAGATTATATTTGTGGTGGACTTATGAAATTCCTGGTGTTTTCCCGGTTTTTCCTGGTGAAAATAAATTCCCGACTTTTTCCCGGTTTTCCTGGTTCACTTGCCACCCTGATACCTATATAACTGAGCTATGAATTTCAAACCTTGTAAGTTTGCCGTTACACATTTTACCGGAGGTTTCGTGTTCGGAGTGTTAAGGGCCCGTTGAAATATGTACATATTATATAACGCAAAATAGTAGATTTTTGAATACCCCACCCCTTCCTATCGCACTTTTACAATGCCTAATGGGTCCGTTCAAATGTTACGTAACGCAAAAAATGCCATTTTAACTACCCCCTAGAGAGAGAGACTAGACCCTCTCCGATACCGCCACATCCCACAATAACAATCGTAAAACAATATCGATCAACGTAATTCGAGCTGATGTATCAAATATTGATGTGATTGCAAAAAGTAGATATTGCGCATTTCACACCAAATTGGACTAATAAGCGCGTTTTCACTTATTAAAAAGTGTGATAAAATTGCAAGTTTACGTCTAATCGTCTTGGTGTCTTCAGTGCACTTATTCCTTATGATGCAAGCAATAAGTGCTCCCAAGACATCAAAACGATTTGATGGAAATGCGCACTTCTATCACACTTTTTGCATTTTTGGGACATTCCAGTTTCAGATGCAATCAGCAATACAATTAGAAATACTCAATAGAGTTCTCCAGATGCACAAAAGTGTGCGTGAGACCGCGCGCTACCTTTTTAAGTAGTTGTGCTATCGCGATATCTTTTTGGTGCTTCTTCTTCTTCATTTTTATATACACAGCAAAAAAAAATGTAATATCGATCAATGTAATTTAAGCTGATGTATGATATAATGATGTAATAGCAAAAAGCAGATACAATATTACATCAATGGATGCAATTTTGTTCGCAAAATCGATGTACATCGTACAACGTTATATTACAAAACCGATGGATTGACCTGGTTGCAGCAGTTTGGATGTAATATTCAACAACTTTTTTTTCTGTGTATGGATGTTAGATTTTAGTGTTCGTGAGATTGCGCTTGGAGATCTCTATGGGCGGAGAGAATGTTTCGAGCCAAATGAACTGTCAAAATCTGAGCCAATCGAACATTCCAATAATTATTAGATTTTTTTCCGAGGATTTCTTATTCTTACTACCTACATTAAATTTGTATTGCAATCAATCACCTTTATGTTTCGTGTACTTCTTCAACTAGTTTTTGTATTCAAAAACAATATTCTAACTCTATTGATTAATTGATCTTAGTTGATTAATTAATGGCAACAAAAAATGTGCGATGCGATACACTCAATTATTATTTTTCACGTAAATCGAATGTGAATAATGCTAGCTTCAAGCAAGGGCTGCAAGATAATTTAGGTACAAGGCTGCCGAATTGTATTTTGTTTTCTTCGCCCATCTCTCCCTCTGAGTATTTCTAGATATAATTGGCGTTGACGAGAGCTCTGTAGCTCTTTATTCATATGGAGAAATCTTATATGTAACTGTCAGTCTATGTGTGAAATATGGCGGACTTTTTCTTATTCTTTCACTCCAACGCAAAACCTCATAAGGAACTGTCAAAATGAGTGTGAATAAACGTCACTTCGGGACTGGTGTCAAGGCGAATATTACCACTCTACCATCCGGATTACCGTTTTCTTCTGTATTTATTTATTAGGGTTCTCTTTATCAGTGGTGGCACGAGTACTGGTGATTAACATTTAATACTTTTCGCAATTACCATAGTGAAGACACACAAAAGCAAACTGCCAAGCAACCAAAATGTCGCGTCATTTCTAAACTGGTTTCTTCCAGCGACAGAACATTTTCACACAAGCAGACAAGACAAGCTTCACCATAAATAAATAAATAAATAAAAAATGTTCTCGAAAGCAACCCAACTGGAACAAGAAGAAGAGGCGCTCAGCGGGCAAGGTGGATCGACCAAGTAGAAAGCGACCTGCGAACCCTTTGCAGGACAGCACAGGATATCAAGGCCTTAGCCTGATTGATATCAATAAGTTAAGATGCTTGTAAATTGATTAGTTTCTTTTGTTTGCTGTCGTAGCTTTATCCCCGCTAATCCGACAAATTTGTGGTTGAATTGGCAGAGTTGACCCGATAATCCGACTGTCAAGTTCATACAATCCAATGTAACCAACGTAACAATTTAAAATAGCTCCATTAGAGACCGTGTGTTGTCGCATTATCGAGAAGTCGGATGAACGAAAGCCGAATTAGCGGGGGGATACTGTACACAAATGAGCAAGCTACTGTTGTGGCTAGTTTCTTTGGAAATTGTTTTGAATATGGTCTTCCTTTGCTGAAGCCGTTCCCTACCCTATGCCGTGATTTAATCTAACCTTTTTATACAGGGAAAGTTTATGGAAAAAATAAAAAAAAACCTTAGTTGTTTATGTAAATATTTTTTGTAAATTTTATCAAGGACGGTATAAGTTATAGTTCAGTTCAATGTATGGAGTGCACATTTTTTTTACGTTAAAATGCTTCTGAACATTCATCTCTGTGAATGATTTAAAAAAGTGGAGGTATAGATATTATATCTTAATACATTATACCAACACGAGTTTGTGTTGCTTTTAATACTAATACCATCAAACAATAAAAAAAAAACTGTTGGAATGGTTCAAAGGCACTTTAAAGTCAAGTTGTAAGACATAATGACAAATATTTACGGCCCTATTCTTACGCATAATTTTGAGAGGCAGAGGCCCGAGGCAGATCTTTTGGGAACTGGTGTATCATGTCGCAGAACAGTGCATCTGATTGGTTCTACGAATGCTCCACAGTTTGCGGTTGCTTCCTAGGATTAAGGCATCAAAAGTTCAATATTTGGTGATTGCATTTCCACGAATATTTGATACTGAGAATAAACGCACATCCAGCAGTAAATCTATTAAAAAAAGAAACAACGAATTATCTCATTTTACAATAGTAACAATACTACACTTACATTGTATGCCATCCAAACCCATAAAATCAAGCTGGACAATGTTTGTTGAAGCTGTAAAAGGTTTCAGTCAGATTAGAGAACAAAACTTTAAATGTAAATTTGTTTCTTACATATATGTAGTAGCCTCCGATTAACCAAAGCCCAAATACGAACTGAAAGAGAATGGCCACTCCGAACAACGCCAACCAGGGTAACATCCACCCACGAGTTGTAGTTTTCAGTGAATAGCAGATTCCAAAGGCCGACAGGATCAGCAAAATAAAGTAAGCAATGAAGAATCCTCCTACGATCTGCATCGAGTCGCGAATGTCTGTTTCAAACAGTGGCGAATACAGTTGGGATGAATCACCTCCAGCGAGCATATATCCGGTCTGAAATCGATCGAACGATATCCATCATAATGTCCAAATTAAAGCGATCATCTGAATGCGTAAAACCAAGCATATTACTAACCATTGTTATAAGAACAATACATATCGCTACCGTGTATGCTGCAATAGCATAGCTTCCAGTTTTTACAGAGTTCGACCAAATGCAGGGAGACCAGCACGATTCCAGCCAAACCATCTTGTTTAGATATCTGAAAATGCAAGCAAATTGAAGATTTTAAAACGGGACCGAATAGCCAATTAAGTGACCGTCGACATAATCATAACGCGCTACGTGACGTGATCCGGAGGCACGCCCTTTTAAAACTCCATTAGGAAACTTTCTTCTTGAACGAATTTTGGCCGCAGAGCACTTAAATGTTTGCTTCAAAGTTAATGATAAAGAACGAATTACCTGTCACAATAGAACTTTTCTACAGAATTATGGAATGATTTGATGAACACCTGAGCACCAAACAAGTTAATCAACGAAAAATAAACAACTTTTACTCCCGCGACCAATCACCAATCTCGATCTATGTCGACTTTCAAACTATCGTACACGGTCGTTCAAACTCACTCAGAGAGAGAGTAACTTCTACTTAAAGCCTAAGAGGAAGAGGAGACAACGGAGACAACAGTTTGTTGTAAAAGTTGAAACGTGAGAATTTTTACAACAGGGAATCAATTTCCTTGTATTTCGACAGGCGACAGCGTCGCCCGAAAAAAAAATAACAACAAAAATACATTAAAAAACAATGTAACAATAAGACGAACATTATTGTCTTAACAATGATTTATATTGTTACGTCTACAATAAATTTACCTTGATTTATGATGTACAAAACAATAAATTTCATGGTATATGGAAAATTTACAATAAAAAAGGGGGGTTAGATTTCGAAACATTGGAGAGACTTACGGATAAGTCTATACAGTTTTATCCAATGTGGTATTATAATATCTCCTGTTATAGTTTTTTTTTTCGCTACAAATGCATTTATTCTCAATGTAAATATTAGAAAGTTTTTTTTATATCAATGAGGACCAGCATCCTCCATTTGAGGAAATGGGTATTTTTTTACCCATTTTACGAAAAACACAATTCAAGAAGATGGGTAAAAAACACCCATTTATTGACAGATCCCCCATTTACCCATTAATGAGCAAACCATAGTTTACCAATTAAATGAGGAGGGGCACTTTTAGCGGAAATGGGTATTTTTATACCCATTAATGGGTTTTCGCGAAACACCGTGCAGGGAATCAATTTCCTTGTATTTCGACAGGCGACTGCGTCGCCCATAGTGAAAAATAGTTTTTGCACAGTCGTTTCCACCAGAGGAGAAAAACACATCACAGATAAAAACCAACAGGCTTAGTGATGAAAGTATAAAAACCAGCATAGTTTTTATGAGGCAGCTCAATTTCAGTAAAACATGCTTTGGTGAAACATGTATTTAAACAAACTTTGATAGAGTCATGGGGGCTCGAGCACTCCTGCACGCTAAGATAAGATTACCTAAAAATAGGTTTTAATTTTACCTAAAATTAGGTATTGCTAATAAAACCTAGAATATACGTAAAATTTACCGATAAATAACATTACTTTTTACTAATATGCGTTTTCAAATATTTACTTTATTTTTTACCTAAAATTGGGTTAAAATTTTGTCACTGTGCAACGAGCAGCAACGCTGATGACAAGTGCTTGTTTATTTATTTATTTCGTCAATTAAGATGACGACAAGTGCTTGTGCTTGTGGAAAGTGAATTTTTTCTAGAAAACCGAAATTTAAATAATTGAATTTCACTTCAAGGACGACTAATACGAAGGGTGAGTATAATTGCCTATTAATAATCCTTAACAAATAAATATAAAAATTGGCTGGTGAAGCAAACAAAAATTAACCTCACTTATGTGTTCGTATGCAAACCCGTCGTCAAATACTGATTTTTTATAAATATTTCCTAATTCTAGCTATCAGTGGCCAATCCCATCGCAACATCCTGCAGGCATCCGTCCTGCAGCAATCCTTCCGGAACGGTGACCCCGGTGAGTAAATGAATTCAAGATAAAATATTGAAAAGACCTTATCAGCGTTTGTAAACAAAACATCTTGCGGCCTTTTCTCATGGATCGGAGCTCACCCGTGCAAAACTGTGAAAGCTTCCCTATCTGATAGCAGTGTTGGTATGCGTAGGTGAGGTCTGATTCACGAAAAAAGGTCGCAAGATGTTTTGTTTACAAAAGCTGATGTCTTTGAATTACAAACCGGATCAAACAAAATCACACCGATTTATTGTTTGTTTTGCGTATTCTAGGTACCAGCATCCCCCAGGTATCCCTCCCGTCCATCTAGCAGGCATCTCCACTGCTTCCTCGCCATTCGCCAATCGGAAGGGTGAGTAACATAATTAAAATAACACGGCACGAGCAATTGACGTTTTGATCAAATCATTCACCGTGCTTCAGTGTTTGAAGTTTTCACTGTTCACTGAATAATTCACGTGTATTTTCGTAACCGTTGGACTCCCATGTGTCAGTAAACTAAACTGATTTCCTTGTATCGGCGAGACGACGAATCATGGCACATAAAGAATAAGAGAAAAATAAATCTTGCTTCATCGATGATCAAATACGTTCACACAAACGATTTACTACTGACGGTATCATCGAAAGAATCTTTATATTCGTGTGTACCATTCGGCATGGATTGTGTGCGTTTGTTTCTGTTCATGATACATCTGCGTATCGCAGTATAACACTGGCGAATGGTTCATATTCAGCAACATGTAATGACACTGAATATGGATGGTCAAAAGCTGTTGCATAAAGTGAACATTAACTTTTCTCATTGAATTACGTGGGTTATTGGGGGAGATTTTGTATTACCAGGTTCCTAATTTTGCGTATATATTCTTAGTAAATATAACCATTGAAATACTTTATTCCTGAAAACTTTTTCAGAGGATTTCCAACAAAACATAATGCCTAGTACCCCCCATGTTCTTGGCTGGATTTTCTTAATCGGTCGGGATGTTAAGGCGTCGTCCACTGTCCATGGTGTGGCATGTGCTAGCATGTCAAAACATGCACACGAGTGGGTACCTCGATTAATGTCAGACACCCACTGCCCCACTACTGTGGCGGCGATGTGGCATGTCAAAACATTATGCTGAAACTTTGCATGTGGCGAACGTAAACATGATGTTAGTCAAGGTGTTTTCTGATATGGCGGCGGCGGAGTGGCATCTGCTAGCATGGTAAAAAAGCTTGTCGAGGTTCGCCTTACGCCACATTACATCCACTTGATCTTTCGACATGTTGTATGATGCCACACCGTCACCACAACAGTGGGCGCCTCGTCTCGTGTCCGCAGTACGTTGTTCTAGAGTTATTCCGATTACACGAGTGAATCGCGTAAATGGAATACACGTAGCATGTGGGATTTGATTTAATTGGTTCCAAAATGGAATACCCCGTGATCCCGGCGATATAGGAAGTTACTGTCTTAGGCAAACATTTTAAGGTGAATAAGGTCTTTCGGATGGTGCACATATAAGTTCAGAGCTCAGTCACTAGGCGGCGTAAGTGTATATATAAGATTTACTATGTGCTATTTATATCTCATGAACCTGACTTTCATGGAAAATACAGTCCTCAACAATGTTTTTTTTTCGGTGGACACGATTTTTCACATGAAGAACAGGTTAGTTGCGAATGCCCCCGTTACGCGGTGCTATTGCATATGTGATATTTACTATGTGCTTTATCACAAGGCCCTGACTTACTATGAAAGTACAGTCTTCTACATAGTTGGTAAGCTAACCAAGTCATATAAAATGATGGACAATAAGTGTGGAACCTACTACCCTAATAAAAATAACCATAAAGAGAGCTTAACGACGTGTTCGGAGTATCATCCAAACCACTTGTGGGATAGTTAACCCATCCGGGAGACAGTTCGTTTATGGTATTTGTTTATTAGGGCGGGGACATGGAAGGGTGTGATTGTTTTCATTATTTCTGACGTGGCTCGCACCACACAGATATTATAAAATTTAGTAAATACTTATACATGTCGTTGCATGGGATTTGACCCATGTACCTTCCGATCACCAGCCGCTTGCCTTCTCATCTGAGCTATCCTAGAATTCATCATATGGGCAATTCGATAATCAATAAAATCTTGCTTGAAAGTAAAAACCTATCAGCACTCCCGATCGCAACTCTAGCTCCTTCAAGGCCCTGTGGGAATGATTAATTCATTCATCGTTGTTTTAAATGAGACCAATTCCGAGCAAAGTCTGAGATTAAATTGAAAGCTAAATTTGATGCTGTGATTTCGCTGATAATGTTTACTCAGGTTGCTGTCGTTTTGATCGTTTTGACGGTTAAAATATCAAAATTGAGAGCAAAAAAATCATCCCGTGACATCACATTGAAAACTATTTCTGCTATCAGTGAGAGCAAACTGAGAAATAAATATGATGTCCTTTTTCTTGTTGATAACAAAACAAGAATTCAATTTGATGTTATGCTAAGGCAATGAAAACAAACATGCAACAACATATTTTTCGTGAGCCATGTGATCGATGATTATTATTTAAATTAATTAGACGTAGAACACAAATAAAAAAGGGTTGAGCTTGGGATTGCACTCACGACCTTCTACTTGGAAAGCGGAAACGGTAACCACTGCTCTACTGATTTCGTCTTGTTGGTAGACTGGACCAGTGTTGTCGAATAATGAATCTAATACGTCATTTATAAAGCATTTACAAATAATGTGATTACAACATGGATGCATAGTGGTATAAGAGCTATTATGCTGACTGTATTCACCTTTATTCAGCAATGTTGTAAAGCAATACAATGAAATCTAAACATGGGGCTAGAGAACATTTATTAGACGTCTAACAACTCCAATTTCATGAATTTACCACTTTTACGGATGTTCCGGATCGTACAGAGGACGATTCTGTGTCCCACTGGAAGACACATTGTACCAAAATGAGAACAATTAACAACTTCCCCGAAGACACCAGGAAGTTATCTCTACATATAACTTTAAAATCAGAGTTTATCAGAGTTTTATTGACTGTATATAAATTTAGTACCATTCATTTCATTTTTTTTTGTGTTCATAATAAATATTATTAACTAACTTACCTGTGTTCCATTTCTTCGATTAGGAGGAGGAGGGGCATAGTGAACAGGTGGGGCATAGTGAGTATCCCGCAGTTTGCCTCTGGATCTCCAGCTGCATGAAACAAATCAACAGGTAGTAGGTTCAATATCATTATGATATTGATCCTACCACCAACCAATTTGTTCCGAACGGCCGGAAGTCCAAGCTGGTGTACGGGATGCTCACTACCCGAGCAAAGTCGGTTAACAAAATGAAAGCAAATCGATATTAAAGTTTGCAGTTCCTATCATAATGAAAACTCATTTTGATTTCAATTGTCGCGACAGAAGTCTGATATCATATTGTGCTTTCATTATGCAGTCAAGACTTTTTAAATCAAAGCAACTTAACTTGAAGTTCTTCTGTTAATTTCTTGTTTAAAATTTAGGTCATTTTAGGTCATTCGTGACTAGCCCGAGGTGACATTTGAGCTCAAATCTTTCAGCGTGAGAAGCATGGATGCTAACCATTTACGAAAGGCCCGTATTCAGTCAAACATTATGAATGCAAAATCAGTAATCAAATTGATTTCATTGAAAGCAGAATTAGTTTTCCGTTTGATTCAACAGTGTAAAATTTTGCTCTCATTTTTGCTGTGTTAACCGTTAAGTCAACCAAAATGAGATCAAATGGAGTATTCAAAATAAGTTACATCATAACAGCAAATTTTGATTTCAATTTGATCTATAACTTTGCTCGGGTATACACCACCTCTTCACTATGCCCCTCTTACCCCTATTTCTTCCCTTGTTCGCTAGTAAGGTACCGCAGGACGAAGGAATGTTTCTTATGTACCTAGCTGCGCTTTGCTACTGCCAGAGTTGGTGCGACGTTTGCGTTCCTTATGTATCATCCACTGCTTTGTATTTATCTGTGCGGTAGATACAAAGAGAAGATATGTGCAGTTCAAAGTTGTATACAATCATTGAACGCGTCATTCGGAGAACTGTTGTGATCGTTTTTTTTGTATTCATCCATCGTTCTTCGTTTCGTTCATTCTTTTGGTGCTACACAACTGAATACTCTTATTCGGCAAAGGTGTCTGACACTTCACTCATTTGTGAATATCTATTCATGAATAGTTACGAACCTGACACACGGTAGTTCAATGGCATGTTGACAGATTTCCAAACACTGCCGTGCTTGGAACGAAGGTACCACGGGGATTGATCAAATTTGTTGAGTTTGTTGAAATCTCAACATATCAAACATCCCACTACAGTACGCGCGCCATAGTAAATGCTCTCTGTGCAATTTTCAAGGAGATAGAGGAAGATGAAACAGAAGAAACGGAGAAGGTCATTGTTGGTTCGGAGTAATTTTTCTTATCGATCGAAACGTTATTCTTTAATTTACTTCTCTTTTAATTTGTTGTTTGTTATTGATTAGTGCTTAAGACATGGAAAATAAAATAACTGAACAAAACCTGCATATTAGATAACATATTTAAAATCGTTGCAAAAATTTTCACCGTGTTACTGTGCGGGACCGAAATCTAAAAATCCGTATGCGTGTTACGATATCATACATCTCTTATGCCTGCCTTATACACTGCAGTCCAATTGGTCGACCACTACGGTTTTATTGTACAACGTACGGTTTTACCATACGCGGTTGACCAACCAGATTGTAGTGAATATGGCAGGCATTGGATATAGGGTTAACTACCCCATTTCCGGCCTATTAAGCACAACCCGCACTTAGTCTTTCTTAATCAAGCGTAGTTGAGCACAAAACGGAATGTTATTATTACTGATGGATTCCAAATTTATTTACCTTTCCGTATGTACCGTAAGATTTGATAAAGAGATATTGTAAAAAGTCTAACACTGCTTCTTGATGCCAAACTCGGCCTACGGATTCTAAACTCGGCCTACCCGCATAAACGCGAACCATAAATTGACCTTACCTAAAATGGTTAAAAATTGTTTATAATCCCTGCTAAACTTTAACTGAAATGGTTATGGAACTTTACATGAACGTTTAATGATAAAGTTTCAACCTTATGTATTATGGTTTTTTTGAACTGGACCTTACAAATAATGGGTTGTTAAGAACCATTACCGTTTCAAATTCTTGTTTTCTTCATACATTTTCGGAAAGAGAACTATATTAGAACCTTTTAACTTATGGTTTGAGAACTTTAATGGTAATGGTTATGGTAGTAAGTAAGGTCCACGAATGGTTTTGTAACATCGATCAACTTTATGTGGAATATATCGCGAATTGGTTGCCTGTAATTTACTGATTACCA